TGTAAAAGAGAATATTCCGAGAATATTCTTTTGGGTTGGAAAATAGGTTTTTCGGTTGGAGATGAATTACTGCAAAATGGGATGTGTACTGCAAAATGGGTTTGAGTTTGGCGAAATGGCCTAAAAAAAAAAAAATACCCTGATGCGTAGTTTTGACAGAAAAACAACCAATCGCCGACGACATTGCAGCTGACTCGAGAAAATTGTACACAGATAACAACGAAAAGGCGTAAAACTGAGTTAACTCGGGTGAATCCTCCGGCAATGAGTGGAGCTCCAAAAACCGCGTGTCAGCTGCATCAGTCGTTCTCCGACAACTGAAGACGGGGGTTTGGCCGGTGGCGCGACGGACGAAAGGAGAGAAACAGAAATGGAGCTAAAACCTCAAGCGGTTGGCCATGGCGGCGGACGAGGAAACACATATTAGGTTTTCTTCTGATGTTAGAAACCACATTTTGGCTTCCTTAAACTGATCTTTATTTTGTCAGTGACTGAGTAGTGATAAAATGATCAATTGGATTAGATCAAATAATTATTGAATAAATAAAATAAACTTTTAAAATTACCAAATAATATTAATAAATAATAATAATAATAATAATAATAATAATAATAATAATAATAATAATAATAATAGAATAGGAGCAAAAGCTGCTGCTCACATTTATACTAGAATGGGCTTTGCTATAGCCAAAGGAGTGAGAGCCCAAATTGTATCTCGACTGCCCACTAATTTCTTGTAAAAATATTTGTTTTAATAATAATAATAATAATAATAATAATAATAAAATAATAATAATAATAATAATAATAATAATAATAATAATAATGCGAGCCACATTACTACCCGTGGAATACGCGCAGAGTGTCCCTTCCTTATACATTTCACACACACACAAACACCAAAAAAATCGAAGAAGACAGAAAGCTTGACAACAATGGCGGAGGAAGCCGGCGGCGTTGGCGGCGAGGAATACCTGTTCAAGATTGTGGTAATCGGAGATTCGGCCGTGGGCAAGTCCAATCTGCTCTCCCGCTTCGCCCGGGACGAGTTCGACCACAACTCCAAGGCCACCATCGGTGTCGAGTTCCAGACGCAGGTCGTCGAGGTCGACGGCAAGGAGATCAAGGCCCAGGTGTGGGACACCGCCGGCCAGGAGCGGTTCCGGGCAGTCACTTCCGCCTACTACCGCGGCGCCGTCGGGGCCCTCCTCGTCTACGACATCACCAGAAAGGCCACCTTCGAGAGTGTCCAGCGATGGCTTGATGAGCTTAATAGTAAGCCATTTTTGTCTTATTTTTCTTTCGCTTTTCCTTATTAACCCTAAAGTTGACATTTTTATCTTATTTTCTTTGAGTATTTTTCATTTGCTCTCACCACTTGTTCCAATTTCATGGTTCTTGCTGTGTTAAGAGTTCTTTCAAATTAGTTTTCTTTCAGTTTTCAAAGCTTTTATGTATGTATCAATGTCTGTTGATTATGATTTCTCTGTCGTTGGGGGTGTGAAAAAGAACTGTATTGCAGTTTTAGTCATCCAATTAATTGGGTGTTATTGGTAGTGAGTTTTTCCTTGTAAATGTTCGCCGGCATTTGGCAATGGAACTTGGAAATATCAACTTTATGAGAGTTTGCTAAGTTTTATCAGTTAACATCCCTGACTTTAGTAGACAGTGTTTCGAAAATAAGACGATTCATTTGTGAATCCTTGAATAGCTAAATGCTGTGAATTTCAGCTTATTGTAATGTGAAACGTGGATGCAGAAAGGTATACATTTTGTATGTGCATTCCATCATATGTGTAACTGTGTTGGCTGTTTTACTATGCCTTGGTAATTTATTGCTTTTATATTGGCTTCCCTGTTTTTACTTTTTACTTATGTTAATCGAACATTGTTTGCATAGAGTCACCTGATCTCCATTGATCTCCATTGTTCTAATGAATCTTAGTTGTTTGAAAATTGGATATAGACAAACTGATGAAGTAAGTGTTCATCATTATGGCTAGCTCTAAAGACTGATATTTGTTTGCTAAATATGTAAATGTTGTTAGCATCTAAAATGTATCGGTTAACCACGTTTCTCAATGTCGATAGTTACATGCAACATACATGTATACGAAATATATTTTCCAAATTTTTTGCCTCTTTTATTCTATGATATGTCCAATTACACTTTGTAACTAGCACTAGGCGAGTCGTTGGATCAGAAATTTACTTATAAAGGGGATGTGATAAGATCTTTCAAAAAATACACACCAACCAACTAATGATGTGTTTATAGTAAATGGAGCTAGAAAACATTTAGGCTCATTTTAAGCAACGCCTATTTTCGGTGCGAAATATTCTCCAATAGTTGCATTTTGCATTTTGATCCTTTGATTTAATATTTTGATGCAATTTCGTTTCTTTGATTACTGAAATTGCAACAAATTTTTAAATTCCCAAATTGAACACGATTAGCAATTTAAGTATTATATTTTAAATTTTGTTGCAATTCCAGTCCTCAATGGATTGAAATTGCAATCAAAATATTAAATCATATGAGCAAAAGGCGAAAAGTTGGATCTTTGTAACAAAAATTGTAATGGCGTTAAACCAGCTGGAGGACTAAAAATACATTTTTGCCCATGTTTAATCCTTTTCTTTAACATGTTTCGTTTCTAAATTATATGCAGTTCACTGTGATACTACAGTGGCGAAAATGCTAGTCGGGAACAAGTGTGATTTGGACAACATTAGAGAAGTGAGTGTGGAGAATGGTAAGGCTTTTGCCGAGCAAGAAGGATTGTTCTTCATAGAGACTTCGGCCCTCGCCTCTACTAATGTGAATGAAGCTTTTGAGGTTGTGATTCGAGAGATTTACGATAAGGTTAGCCGCAAAATACTTAACTCGGACTCATACAAAGCCGAGCTATCGTCAAATCGTGTCGATGTCAACTTGTCCAAGGCAAATAGCAGCACATTTGCATGTTGTTCGAGATGATTTTTTTTTTTTATTATTTATTTTTCTGAAAATCCTTTTGAGCCTTTTTTTTTTTTAATCTGTAGCATGTGTAATTTAGATTGGTTTGTGTTCTCAAAGGCAATGAGATGGTAATTATTAATTAGTATTTCTGGATTTTAAAGCTTGATTTTTGTGGTGGGTTATTTATTCTATTATTGTGATTGTTGTGTTATTATAACTTGGTCACAAATGTGTTACTATAGCTCGGCTCTGCTTGTTTAATAAATGGCTTCTCGATCATTTAAAGTTCGTTTGATTAACGAGTTAGATTAGATTCAGCGCTGAAACGGAAAAAATTCAAAACTAGTCTCACAGGTATAGGGGGTGACAATTTTGGTCCAAACGGAATGCAAAAAATATGAATAGTCCCACAGCTTTTTAAAAATGATCAAATGTAGGACTTTTTTGTCGGATTTACTATTTTCGGCTTGGAACGCCACGTCGCGCACACGTGGCTTATTTTTTTTACACAAGCTGTGGGACTATTCATATTTTTATGCATACCTGTCGGACCCAAAATGTCACACCCCCTACATCTGTGAGACTAGTTTTGAATTTTTTCCTATCTACGTCGGATGCCAGCGTGTAAGAAAATAAGCCACATGTGCGCCACGTGGCGTTCCGAACCGAAAATAGTAATTCCGGCAAAAAAAGTTTTACTCTTGATCATTTGTAAAAAGTTGTGGGACTATTCATATTTTCTGCGTTACCTTGGGACAAAAATTGTCACCCGCCCTATACCTGTGAGACTAGTTTTGAAATTTTCCCAGGCTGAAACGGTATATATCATTTTTTATAGTCTGTCTTGTAATTTAGCCGAACAGAAGCTCGATTACTAACTTATTAAAGAGTTCGAGCTTGAGTACCACGAACTCGATTCAACTCGACTCGTTTCGAGCCGGCAACAACAAACTTGATCATGTCAACCGTGTATATTGTTTATATCTATTTAAAATTAGTAAATTTAATTTACAATTGGAAGTAAATTACACGATTTTATTTGACTTCTACATGAGAGGTAAAATCAAAATGCATGCATGATCACTTTTGACCCACAGCAAACGTAATTGAAGCTAATAATAAACTCGGATCAAATGACTTGCAGTAAAAAAAAAAAAATGCTACGGTCCGATACGAAACTATTCCGTCGAGTTTGTAATCATTAGATCATCGAGTAAGTCAGTCCACTGTCAAAGTATGTTAGGTTTATTTGAACAAATTAGGTATATCAACAACTATAGCCATATATTTATTTAAATAAAACTGAATGTACTTGCTTAATTATCAGACCGACTCCAAGGATAATTTGTCTTTACATAATATAAAGCTCTGTACCACCAAAAGTAATCAGAATTTTTTTTTTTTTAATATCTTCGGTTAATTTCCAATAAAAATATATATGTTGGCATAAGGTAAAAAGGAAAAAAAAAAATGTATTTAAAAATATAAGATATTTTTGAAATTGTGAATGGATGGGTGTAATAGAAATACAGTAATTAAAATTATTTTAAAATAAAATATGAAATAATAGATGCTAAATTAAAATATCCGAATGAGTAATATATAACAATTTTTATTTTTTTTATTCGTGTTGATTGAATTGTAAATATATATGTTTTTTGGATAATGTATAATAATATAACTAACTTTTCTTCTTCTTTTTTTTTTTT